CAGGTCGTGTTGAGGAGCGCGATTGGTCTATATGCTTTGGTGATAGTGTAATCCGGTTTGCCTGGTTTGCGTAATACTACCGTCGTGAAGTCGCGCCATGGTTCATAATAGGTGTTGAGTGAGAATACTGCCCTGAATAAGTGAAGTAGATATGGACACAGGAGGTCAGCGCAGCGAATGAAAACCACGTTACAAATCCCATCAGGGCCTGGGGCCTTGTATGGGCTTAACTTTAGTATGCTACGTTGAAGTTGATCAGAAGTTAGAGGTGCTGGGGTTGGGACCGCTGTTGGGTATTCGAAGTTTGCTGGTACTGAAGATGCTGCCGGTGGTGGTGGGAAGAAGGCTTTCAGCCAGAGCTGCACTTTTTTCTTTGTTAGTATCTGCTGTGCCGCCCTCTGAATGTTTGAGTGTGGGGATTTTCGAGAGTCCCCCATCGCCAGCCGAAGCTGTCAGATACTTGTTAGCAGTCCAAATTTCGTTACCTGTTATGTTCTCGAGCCAGTCCGTCCAGTGATCTTTCTTGACTTTCTTGATGGCCTCCGCATATTGATTACGTTTAATGCGATGTTCCTCGTGGCTGTAATGGTTAGCGTGACTTCTATTGCGGTACGACAGGTGGCTGAGTTTCGCGACTTCTCGCCTCATCATTGTCAGGTCTTTTGTCCACCACCTTTTTGAGTGAGGGTTCGGTTTGGATGTCGGGACTAACTGTTCGATGGTGGCTTGGATGGTTGTCGTGAGGTTGTGGGCCGCTGTTTGAAATTCGTCAGTAGTCACTAAGGGTTGGGCGGGTGGGATCTTAGCCAGCTCGAGTTCTAGTTTACTCTTAAACTCCTCCCAATCAGCTTCGCGGAAGTTGTGCTTGATTTCTGTCGTGGCTTGAGGGATTGCGAGCTCGAGTATGCTGAGGATAGGTACATGGTCTGTGGCTGGACCTCGTAGTGCGGGATTGGTAGTACAGCTAATGAAAGATTCCCCTGTGTGGTCAGTGCAAAATACGTTATCCGGGCGAGTCCAGTTCTTCGAACTGGAAGATTGGAGTGTTGGCAAACCTTTCGGTAACATCATGATCATTCCGTAGTCCTGCGATGAGGTCGAGGAGTGGTTGTGCTGCGTTGAGGTAGTGGTTAGTAAATAATTGCGTGTTTCGGTCTTCGTCCCAGAGAGGGTGATGTCGGTTAAAATCTCCCAACCAGATCATATGGTCGTCGGCTGAGGGTCGGATTCGAGCGATCTCACGTTCAAGGAATGTCGATAGAGCTTCTTGAGTCTTCGTTCGAGTGCAGTCGTTATAGATGTTGAATACTGTACAGTGGCCGAATGGTCCGAGGAATTGGATGACGACGACGTCGGGAGATGGAAATGGGATTTGTTGCCATGAGTTTGTGTCAAAAGCTTTTGAAACAAGAGTGACGGTGCGTGAGGTGGTTTCAGGGGAGGTGAAGCGGGAGGTTGGGTAGACAGCGTGGAAGTAAGGAGACGATATGGTGTTTTTCATATGGTTGATATGCGGTTCTTGTAGCGCGATGATGTCCCATTTATTGGCGATGGGACCGTTGAGAAGGGAGTGCTGTGCTATGAGGGATGTGTTGAGATTTTGCTGCCATACGCGTAGGGTGGTCGTTGATTCATTCCGTTGATCAGACATGAGGGGGGGTAGAGGTCCGTGAGCTTGAAGAGTTTGAGGAGCTTGAAGAAGAGGGAGACGAAGCCAGAGGTGAGTGTTGAGGGGGTGTGGACTTTGCGGTTTCGGGTTCAGTGGAGGCTGAAGGCGTTGGGGTTTGCTGGGTTGGTGGTACGGGATGTCTCAAGCCCCAACCCATTGGAATTGGGATGGAGTTCGAGCTGGTTGGCGTAAAGGTGCGCGGGCGGGAGTGTCCAAAATGGCCGGGTGTGCCTCTCGAGGGTCTTCCGTAAAATCTTCTGTTGTCAGTTGGTGGATTGGCTTCGAAGGTGAAGTTCATCTGTCGGAAGGTCGGCCTTTGTTCGATGGTGGGCTGCTCAGCTGGCTTTCGGTAGGGAGCAGGTTTCGGGGGCAACATGACCTGCGTCCAGTCCTCGTCAGTGGGGAAGTAAGGCATGGAGTTTTCTGGGAGCTTAGCGTCAATTCCTGCGCAGCAGTTTTCGAACTCTGGGCAGTTTCTGTTCCAGCTTGCATGATCTTGTGAGTTGCAGCTAACACAGAAGAGGGTGCGATAGGCGTTGCAGGTGTCGGTCCGGTGATTCTTTCCGCAAGTGCCGCAGACGTCTTTCGGCGCATTACAATCCTTGGCTACATGGCCCCAGAGTTGACACTTAACGCAGCGAACTGGTTCGCGTTTGTCTTTGCGTGGGTGTAGTTTTTCTTGGTTGATGTAGATACCATCACGTAGGGTAGAGTTAGCTGCTGCAGGATCAGTGAAATGGAAGATTGCGTGCACTACTCTTTGATCCGTGGCCCTCCGGTTCTTTGGCTTGATCCATCCTGCTGCTTCAATGGAGCCTGTCGAGAGGTTGTTTTCCGTTTCGATCGCTCGTAGCCATGGTCCGTTTTCAACGTCTGCAGTGATCGAGAGGAAGGGGACTATAATAGAGAATCTGCGTGTTTTGATAGAGAACTGTGAATCAAGCTTTTCGATGATTTTTACCTTGTTTTCCGGTGAGCGGATCCAATTAGCCGCTTCTGCCGTGGTTAGTTCGATGATGAGGCCTCCGTTATGTAGACGGGTCGTGGCCTTGATTTGAAGGTCAGGGGAGTCATCTGAGCGAATTGTCGATAGCGTTTGTTGAAACTTCTTGGCGATATCTGCTGGGTTCTCGTTGGGTTCGAAAATTGAGCCGCCAGGGATGGGTTCCAGTAAGATTTGACGATCCTTGATGGCTGCCCTTAATAGTGCTGCTGAGATTGGGGCAGGGATTGGAGCGTTCTGTTGGACGACCGTACTGTAGGAGCGTGAGTTGGCTGGTAAGTTGGGTGAAGGGCGTGTTGGGTCGGTTTCCGTCATTGAGGTCCTAAGTTGTGTGAAGTCGTCGGCGTTTTTCTTTAGCGTCTCTGTAGCAGTGGCCATGGCAGCTAATTGAGGTGGGATTGCTGTGAAGGAGTCGACTACCTTCTCAAGGCGTTTGATGGTTCCTACCATGTGGAAAGTGTTACGCACTCAAATAGATCTGTTAGGCGGAGCCCTAAGAGGGGCATCGTCCGCTAACGTTCGTGACGTAACCGGAAGGATCCGGTATAGCAAGTGATACTGGCGACGACGAGTCGGCAGTGATCACAGTACGCGCGTGTCACGTGACTTGGTAGACGGATGTCCAAGAAGTCACTCAAGGTAAGGACTGTCTTGTCCGTACGATGAGGTTGATCGAGATAGACTTAGCCGCGATGAGCGACTAAGAAAAGATACTAGAGACTGAAGCTGAGGGGGCTTCAGAGGGAAGTATGTTCCAGGGAAGATTGAGTAGATTCAAGTTAAGGAATCTAGTACAGGGTGACCGACTACTTATACTAAGTGGAAAGGGTTAAGGGCAAGGCTACCGCACAGTAGGTAAGGGTAAAGGGGATACGGGAATGGTATAGGTGCGTTGGCAACACAGCCGGATTAGTGATGGATGGTCGAAAGTGGAATGAGACCGAGAAACGTTGGAACGGACCAACGGTAAGAATACAACGTGCGGGAATCCGCAGTCAGGGGAAACAGAAAGAGGAAAGCCACATTGGTGGCACGAGTCAGACCGAGTCAGAGGTGCGGGACCACATTGGTGGTCGAATCAAGAGAGGAACGTGCGTGCACGTGCATAGAGGCGGATGATGCGAGGGACGGGAACAGTCCCGAGGATCCGGTCAACGGAAAGTCGGTAAAGGAGGACGAGCCGGTAGATGGTGAGGGCGAGGATGAAGGGAAAATGATAGGGGGGCCACGTGACCGATGTTACTTGTAACAGAAAGAGGTTATTTCTGCGATCTTCTTTGCTTTCAATTCGTAGTCGGCTAGCCCGAGTAGGATAGCAATTGCTCTCAACATATCTCGTTGCAGTAAGGTGACTCCTGGGGTGTTGATGGTGAATTCGAAGAGTGCATTCGTCAAATCTTCGATGGAGGCGCCTGCTGCTGGGATCAGCATGCCTTTGCTGACTAGTTCGGCTCTTGCGGTTGCTGCATCTATTACTTTCGAGGGGGTTGCTGGATTACTTATTAGTTCGGGAATTGATCTATTAGAGGGTCTAAGTAGCATGTTTTCTTTGTTTCTTGAGCTTGTCCGCGCAGTGATGGGGTCTGCTTGAACGTCCACTGGCATCTTGTGCAGCGATTTTTGTATGAAATATTAAAAGTGAAGCTAGTAGGGTCTATGTATCAATGGGAACTGGTTTGGATGGGGACTAATGGCGCCTAGAGGCGTCGAGTGCGCCGGTGAACGCGATGTTGGAAGTTTTTGATTTCCGGGGTCCTAGTCGGGGTGCCACTTGGTGTTGGTCCAAGGGGCGATTAAGAGTCAGAGCCTGTCAACATGACGCCAACCGACATCTATTCGAGATGTTTAAATTCGATGTGTGCTGCCCTGGTGGCCTGGTCCCTCTCTCCGAGTCTCTCGTCATCAGTTAATTAAACCTCAATCCTCCATGTCGAGGAGCAGTTTCAACTCAGCTTCGAGCGCATCTTTGGCACCTAACTCGCCAGCAACAAATACACGCCGTTGCGCGGTCAATAAATGCCCATTCAACTCAGTAGCGGATCCTCTCTATGTCGAAAGGGTAAAGCTCTTTCAAGGCACAGGTTGCCGTTGGATCTTGGTTCAATACACCCCTTATGCCCGATCTCAGCATCGCTACAAAAATCATGCGAAAGAAAATGGGAAGGGAGAAGGGAGAAGGGAAGGGAAAAGAGGATCCCTCACGCCGTGACACAATTGATGTTGACTCTGATTGATTTTTTACATATATTTCATACATATGTTCTCATATGTACTACAGTACAGTTCTACATAACATATACTAGTTCACCCGCGGGTGACCCATACCACCTGCAGGTCCACCCATGGATCCACCCGCACCCGTGATACTCTTACCCGTACGGGTGCGGGTAGGCCTCTGAAGTTCCATCTACCCGCGGATTGGGTACGGGTGCCACCCGGGTCCACCCATGTCACGCCCTATGTTGGTCATAATGCACGTCGTCCTTCTTTTCTTCTGTGTCCGTCACTGGGAACACGATGTAACTTTCTCTTTCACACCAACAAACAACGATTTCTGGTCCGTGGTGCTTAGTGCTTCACTACAAGCGTTTTATACCGTACGTATCCACAGTCTCCACTTGGTATCCTAACAATGCGACAATGATATGACTTGGTCCAGATATACACGGCTGTGCTACTCTTTCTTACCCAACGGCTTGCGATTTCGAGAACACTCGTACGCCGTGTGAAACTGACTGCAGTCCATGACATCTCTGGTGCATGGGCGGGTCTTGGCTCTGCACTCAGCAGCGTCTGGCGACAAACTGATGTCCCTGCCTCATGGTGGACGACTTCCGCTGTGGCAGCCTACCTTGCGAGCATAACCGTGCTGCATGTCACCTCTTCCACTCTTCTACAATTCCAAACCTTCAATGCTTCTATGACGACTTCAGTGCCCACAACACAAGGGTGGCTAAACGATTCATCGTACAGCTCTTCCACGAACCTGGGACTCATTACTCTATCTCTACCAGTTGTCAATCAGTTGACTGGACTCGTGTCTGCAGGATTATCCAACACCACACTCTACGACACTCTCAAAACAAATGGTATGACAGGAAATGCTACTGTGAATGCAACAACGGTAACCTCGCATTGCGGATTGATTCCAAATGTGACATACTCTGCGAATAATGGCGAGTTGATCTTTCCGTTGGGGCCAGATTCTTATTTTGTGACTTTTATGGATACTCCCCGTTGGTAGTTGTGGTCATGGTGATGTTTTATCACGCTGAGAACATCTACAGGGCCAGATCATATATATATAATTCCAGGGTTCAAAAATGGATCTTCTGACAGTATACAATCGGAGGTAAGCGTCCTTCCAGATAGTTTGTGCGGACTGTAGCGGAGTAACAATTTGACCGCAGCTCAATGGTGTCTTTCTTATGGTCTCCACATTATTGGAGATTGACCCTTCAATACAAGATGAGATCCCTGTAGCCATAAACATCACCTCGGGTACGTTTACTTATTTGTAATACAATCATGATAATAATACGTTCTGCAGCTATCTATGGCAATACTACCACTTATGTCATCCAGGTCTTTTTTATACAATGCTCGCTGTCAGCCAACACTATAGATGGGGTGGTCGACATACAAACCAACAGTCTACTGAGTCCGACGTCCATATTGCAGCCATCTACACAATGGGAAATGAAAAAATTCGAGTGGTCAAGTACTAATTGGCAAGCACAGGTGTGTTACTATACAGCGCTCATTTCTAGGGGTTGTGAATGTTCAATGACTTAATGTCGATTTTAGATCAGCAGTGCTTTGGCTAAGGACAGCAGCGACGATATGTCATTTAATCCACAAAACGTTGATTCTGCTGTGGACGAGTAGGCTAAAAACTTTCCTTGAGTGTACTGCCGCATGTCTCACGTACGGTTTGGCTTCTAGGTATATAATGTCATTGATAGGCTTGAATACCACAGAGGAATATACGCAGTACATGGATGCTCGTCCGATTTCTAATTTCACTTTGAGACCGGATGAACTAGAATCTGCGGTTGCGAAAGCAGCTGCACAACTCATCTGGCTAGGTAAGGGATATGTTTGATCATTGTCCTGTTCTCACTCATCCTGTGATATGTGTTTAGCGGGACAAATGGGTACGGCCAATGGAGGAATTGACCCTGGCAATGGGACGGCCTATGTCAACGAGGAGTTCATTTCCCTACGCCTCAATGCAAGTGAACTGCACAGATGATGATTTTAAATGACTGATGGAGCATTGTAGATTAACCTTCTTCCTGTGAGTTTGTGGCGGTATATATGCGATGAGTATTCATCAAAAATGCTTCCAGTTGGCTATCGCGGCGTCTGCATCGGTGATCATGCTGGGACTGGCGCTACGTATGACAAGAGCATTCAAGACATCGCACGACAGTCAGGCTGTTATCCCAAACATAGGTGTGCTGCAACTCTTATGGTTGGGTCATCGTTCAGCCTCTATCAACGAAGTCCTGGAAGATGTGCAACATCCGACAGAGGCTAATCTGCGGCGAGCAGGCATGATAGATGTTTGTTTTTCGAATACAATGCCCGACGAAGGAGAATTTGGGAGCTCAACTGCTAGCGATAGTCTCTATGTTGACTACCGTCGTGATGAGGAGATGTGATTTCAATTTGAAAATAGCGGGCTGCTGTTCATTTATACTATGTGTTTTGTGTTTCTCTGCTCTCTGGTGCGGAGGTCCGTATTATGGTTGTTTTTGTTTTTGGTATCGTTTCTCAATTCAGATGCTCTCTTCAATGACGATTACTAGGTGTGTCGCAGATATCATTATCATATGGATGACGCTGGCTTGCTTTGGATCGAGTTTGATTTTTTTTACACATGTCTAACTGGTAGACGCATTCGAGCTTCAAGATTTTCACGCGCGGGCCATCTGTCTGTCCCTCAAATTCCCTTTGTCCATTGCACAATGCAAATGACGTGCGATCCGATCTGGGTGCTAGGCTCATGCACGACTCACATGCTGAGACATCTCTGACCCATCTGGCAGAGATTATTGTCTATGTCTAACTTGAGCGCGCGATAGTAGTTAGGCTGCACGCTGGTTCACGCCTCTTCTGAGTTCTCAGCTACATAATATCATCGCGTTTCAAGTTGGTATGTAGATGAGTTTTTGTTCTGAAATTCTCAAGTCTCCATCCTTCCTCCTCTTACCTGCTCGTCGTCTTGTTAGTGTTTCAAAAGTGTTTGTCGCTATCGCTCTCCCGTCCCTTACTGAACTCCTCATGATCAGCCCATCTACTTACTAATGGTAGGTCCAACTGCACCTCCTCCTGACTTGTACAGCGTCTGTAGAGTCTGGCCTGGCGTACTAGGATCTTTTTTTTTTTTTGATTCCGATTTCTGTCCATTGAGAGTGTACTCTATGTAGGACAATACGTTCTATTCTACTGGACCCCCGGTGTCCTTGTTTGCTGAAATCGCGAATGCCCTGGTGTGGGACGTACCCCACCAGTCCGCCGTTCCTGCCGGCCGTTTTAGACGCGCATTTCGTGTGTGCTAGGTAGAAGTACTAGGATCTTGTGACCTATAGTATCGGGGCTATGGTCGCCGGGGCAGAAAACGCTATGCTGATATGAGCCATACATGTTATTATTGTAATACGAGTGACACAGCCTGCCTGCGAGTGGAATAAGGGCTGTTGGAAATGCTGATTTGTGTAGATCGTGGTGATAGATCGCGCGGACGCCGGAATAAGGGATTAGACGCTCTGATGAGCCTATATATAACTGTACTTTTGCGCTCTTTCGGAAGTGGTTGTTCTGTACGAATACTTGGGAAGACCTCAAGAAGAATGCGGAGATGAAAGATTAAAACAACATGACTTTCCTGCTTGCATGTCCTTGTTTTGCACTGTGTAGCGTCGGCCCGAGTTACTGCCTTGAACCGCTCAGTACATAATTTTGCTCGCACATAGAAAATTGTTCGGTGAAAACCCTACAGGAGTGAAGGAGTGAATGTATACGATGCACGTATATCCATCGTGGATCCTGTCTACCAAAATGGATTTCGTGTAGATTAATTTAAGGCAAGGCCAAGACCAAGGCCTTCAATTTTTCGAAGTTGGGTGTGCCGTGTCCAGTGACTACAGGTATGATCAGCATGTAGACACGTCATAACTCTGTTTGCCTTCATTAACTCACCAGGATCCCATCCAACAGTGGCCTGTATACAGGTATCACGTCAGCAATGTGATCTGAAGGCGTGCAGACATGACCTACATTGAAGCCCTGAGTTCCACATCCTGGGTTGTTCCCTTGAGTGATATCATTTAATGCAGTGTAGCCAGTGGAATATAACAATGGATTCAAAAGGCCAAGAGGAGTCTTTCCAGCATTGATGCGTGCGTCGTTCAACATGGATACAAATCCGGCAAAGGCGGGCGAAGCACAGGATGTACCATTGATTAAATTCCCTTCACCTTGATAAATGATAGAGAATGATGTTGCTTGTGCTGCCACGTCGGGATATGCCTATAAAAACGGGTTCCATAAGATTTTTGCAAGTTAAAGAGTTAACATACACGTCCGGTCCTAGAGATGATGAGTCAATTGTGCATCGTGCTTTCGCCAGCTTGTGGTGACTTACGAGTTATAGAGACCTTTGAACGTACCGGGAGCGAGCATCGCTAAGTATTTAGAGACGGCAGCCTCCTGGTATGCAGGACGAGCAAACTTATACATTGCAATGTATGGGTCAGAAGGTTTCATGTGGGGCAGAGATTACTTACATAGTCGCTGAATCCACCACCAGAAAAAAACACGGCAGTCTCTGGGATGTTGATAGTACCACCAACAGCAGTCACGCTGTGGTACAAATTGGTTGCTGTACTCCTTGATTAGAAATACCACTCACTATGGGCAGGAAGCGGGGAATGACGGCAGGAATTTTGTAACATTGCGCCCATCATTGGATTTACATAATTGAGTGGCAAGGTCGGAATTCCCATCACCAACGCCACCATCACCAGAGGAGAACAACAAAGAAACACCGCGAGCACTGAGAGACGCCATACCAGCGCAAACACGGGTCGCATAGGTGTACGGGACAGTTTGTTCATGATCACCGTAACTGGTAGAGATTGTCTGAGGAATATCATTCTGTGAAAGTAAGTGTTCAAGCCACTGAAGATCGTAGTCATTGATACAGTAAACCGCCATCGTGATGGTTTGAACGCACGTATGTGTATGGCTCATTTAGATTCGTCGGGTACACCAGGTCGGGAATGTAAGGAGGCTGACCAGCAGTCGTGTAGAACGTTCCGGGAGTGGGCCACACGAGTCCGAAACCAAACTGAGTATCAAGGTTGGCTTCATCTCCTGCCGCCGCATAGCTCTGGTTGTTCTTTCCGCCTGTGAAGCAAATGAACAAGATAATATCGACGAAGTTCGGACTGCAACCCACCATGAATAGAAACCAAAGTGTAATTCGAACCATGAGCGGAAGGATTTTGGGCCAGGTAGAATTGCTGAAGGTCCTTATTATTTGCATACTGGTCAAGATAACCAGTGATACCCAGCTTGTTGCAGTTTGTGGCGGTTGTTTTATAGTTCTCTGCATTATACAACTGTCTCAAGCAAGAAAGGGTAATCGTAGACTTGCAGCTCGCATCGACGGGATTGCCTGCAGGCCCCGTGATTGTTTCGCTCGGCAGGTATGGCGCCGCAGGCTGTGCCTGGTTAGACCAGTGCAGTGTGCTCTTGAATGCCTTGAAACGAGCGAACATGGTCGTAGGCTGAATAAGATCAACATGATGGTGCAAGATGTCAGGGAGACTGTAGCTCGTAGTCCTGAGGATGCTCTCTCCAGTCTCAGCGTGTTTATAAACATGGTATGTCTAGAAACAAACTGTCAATGCATTGTAATCTCCGAAGACAGTATTGCCTCGCTCACAGTATCCAGCATCTCTTCTGCGAGACCGACCGGGACATGAATAGTGACCCAATCGCGTGCGGATGAATGGATAACTTCTTCTTCTGCCAGACCGTGCAAGGTAAGCCATTCGCTGACGACGGCCAGAGTCTCAGGGTGGGGGGCCATGAGTGTCTCAGTCTCCTGCTTCGACAAGTACTCCCCGTAACGTGCGTGGCTAGGATCGCTTATCTCCCAGAGGTGCTGCTCAAGTTCCGGGAACCTGGGCTGAGAAAGAGCGATCTTGAGCTCGAGCATGTGGTGCTTTTGTGCGGGAGCATGCTTGTACCACCCGTGGGGTGGACTGTGGATACTCTCTTTCACCTTTTGCTGGCAGCCCTTGAAGGGTACAGTGCTAGCGAGAGCAGCCGCGAAGGGAAACACAAGCAGAGTGATGAACTTCATCGTCAGTGCACAACACAAACTGGGTTGGTACTCACGATGATTTCTCGAGTACTTACATATACTAGTGAGATCGACATTAACCAAGACAATGGAATACGTATTCGATGGTTTGATTGACGTGGCCGGTTGAGCACTGACGTTCTTCTGTCACTAAGCTGGCAAACGATAAGGCTTCGTTATACGTGTCGATAGACCTGAAACATTATATTTGGCCCATTAATTTGCTTCTACCGTGACAAGCCCGATTGCTCAGGGTAATCTCGGAGAAATACACCATTTCAACTTGCCTGTCATATGTATGAAGTAGAGCATACGGTTGGGGTGGAGCAAACCGTGTGGTTAAAGTTGCCATGATCCTCCGCCAGCACACAAGAGATTCCTAGTATATTCACTGCGTCACAACGAAGAACTCAAGGTGTTGTTGAGGAGTGCTCTTCGCGCATGGAACAGCCATAAACCTGTATCACTTGACGTGATTGACATTATATGAGTACTGCGTGTGCTGATCGTGGGCCCGACGTTGTCCACACGAGAGGTAAGAATGGTCACCGTAAGATATATGGCCTCATTCATATAGTACACGTAGATCACATGACTTTTCGTGGCGTAACTACCTTATGTAATTAAGAGTCACAATTGTTCGCATGTGCGTGCACTTTCTACTTATTGCACGCGAAAAGTCAAATAAGTACCTTAAGCTTTCCTCTAGACCTCGAATACCTGAGCTGCAATATCAGCAAACACCTTGTCGCACTATTTCTTCTCCTGCTTCCGTGAACAGCTCCCCTCGTGTGATTTGATGTCATGAGCAGAAAAACATTCTTGACAGAACTTACATCGTGCCTGTGCAGATATTGACCGTAAATAGGCACATCTTTGTGTAGACAACTTGGACATCTAAAATACAAAATGAACAAGAGATTGATGGAGGATAATTCTATTGAGAAACCCCTCGTGGGAAACAAACCCCAGGGTTTGTAGCTTAGTAATCCAAACCCATGTACATCCATCAAACAATAGAGGGTTTCTCGCTAACGGTCACTGGCCGGCAATCGGGAGTAGCTCACATTGTAGATAGTGGTTGTAGTCTACTGGCTGGTGTGTCCTAGCTGCAAACAAAGGAAATTGAAATCAAGCTTGATTCAAAAGTCTACTACTCTAGTACCTGTGTTCATAAATTCTCACAATTGTATTATTGTTTCGAACCCGCTAGATTCATCTGCTCCTCATCTGCGTCCTGGATCCCAACCAACGAGGACACTCAATGCTAGAGAAGTGTATCACGAGGCTCAAGAAGCTCTCAAACCACTGCTTAACGGTGTTATCACACAAGAAGACCTCGATGATCTCAAGGAGGAGCTTAGTGAATTGCGGTACGTGTTTTTCTTGCTAAATTTGTTGTCTTGTTCACACAACACACCAGGCGGGCAAGGGCTGAGGAGCAATCGAGTGGACAGATCTTTGACCCACCAAGTATTCGACAGAAAGGACGACCTCGCACAGCACTAGGGAATGACACGGGTGTACCCGTGGGTGTCGCAAGCATCACCCGCACCCGCAGGTATACCCACACCCCCATGGCAGGTGCGGGTCTCATGGTGGGTTGGTGGGGAGTATAGTGGCGGGTGTGGCACAACAGTGCCCGCGTCGACTGTGTGGGCAGACGAGTCCATGCTGCTGTGCCGCGAAGACGAAGAAGTACCTGCGCTTGTTGCACCAAAACCCATTCTGAAACTGTCTCCTCCATAACGGAAGGAGTGCCAGGCGTGTTAGATGCGCTTGGGGGCTCGGTGAGGGAGGAGCGCTGCGCACGAGCATCGTGTCGAGAGCGCTTCCAAATAATATCGGATTTCATACTAATGGAACGAGCAGAGCCATGAAGCTTATAGTAGAGGCCGCATCTGTATGTATATAAGAGATTGGTACGAATATAGAAGGAACAACAAATGAGAACGTACGCATTGCAAACGGTCTTGCCTTCATCGTCCTTCCTCCACAAAGGAGTTGCAACCAGGACTCACCACCTCCACGACTCGGACCGGTGTCGCAGAAGAAGAAGAATGTGGTGGCGCTGCAGCCGAGGACAGCATGGACAATGCAGAAGCCAAAGATGACGCACCACCCGCATCATCCTTCTCCATGACTAGCACGCATGGACTTTGGACGCGGACATTTATGCTACCAAAGAGAAGAGAAACGAGACGTCTGCTCAGCAAAGTCCATACGACATATATAGATGAAATAATACTCACCAATTTACAATAGAGACTGCAAGCGTGATGAGTTACGACACGAGTGACTACCCACTATAAGGGTACGGGTATGGGTATGGGTGTCCAAAGGTCATACCCCCACCCCTACCCATAAGGTACCCTTACCGCGACCCGTGCGGGTGGCCAGTACCCCTGTCGTTGCCTACACAGCACGGATCACAGGCGCTATCGAGGGCAGATCTCGGGGAGGAGGACCTTCGAGGACCTTGGCTCCAATGACACCTGCTGTCCCAGCACTCAGCCAACAGCTCCCAACTCAAACCCCGCGTTCTCGCCAACCTCTCATGAGTCAGAGGTCCGCACGTAAATGCGGCCTTTGTCGTCAGGCAGGACACACACGAGCAAGGGCGGCCTCAACATGTGACTGGGTTCAGTAATGGTTCAAATTTTGCAGTTACTTACTTTAGTGGTCTTTATTGATACCTTATAGCACAAGTAATAGTGATTTTTAGATTGATTTGATTGCCAGACGAACGGCAGACAGCGCGTGCCAGTCAGTTGAATAACTTCGACGACTTGAAGGTGAAAGAAAATCGCCCGTTTGGCGCCGGTGGCTACGGAGGCTATTATTGGTTAACGAAGGTTTCTGGATAAGATCTATTTTGGGGGTGGGGTTTGTAAGGGTTTGTTTCCCACGAGGGGTTTCTCAATAGAATTATCCATTGATGGATGTTATCAAAGGTGATTGCAGGTGTGATGACTGTATGTGATATGAGCTACAAGTCACGGTGAGGACATCAACGTCGCTGATTACTAATATAAAACTATAGTCCTTGGAACTTTGTCAGCACGGCACCTTGCGAGATACCCGGCGCCTTTGCCCGCTCGAAATAGACTTGAATCTCGGATGCAATGAAGTTGGACTCCAAGCTTCCTGGAAGCAGGAGTGCCTCGATTGTGATAGTTAAGTTGCATACAAGTCTCTCAGATACAGGCTGGTTGATGTACGTCGTGTAGGGATGCCTATCCATATCACTGAGTTGGCAAGTGATGCCGCATCATTATTTAGCCTTGTAGTAGAACAATACGGTATAACAAAAAAGCGACAAATCCGTTAATGTGATAAGTTACACGTGCACAGCATTTTGATGGGCCGCTTTATGACACAAGTTGGGCCGCCGCATCACCCTCACTTGAAAGTTCGAAACGTCGATGCCATGCCTTCACCGATATAAAGAGGAAAATCTAAGAAAATGACCGACTTGCTTCGAATATCAAGGTCCGAGGGCCACTTCCAGGGAGACCCTGTTTAAAATCTGCACTCACTTGCCACATCGCTGATACTTCGTATGTCAAAGACTTGTGTATCCTGTCGATCGAAGGCTTGCTGTTGCGTGCCGACAAATACACTCCCCCCCTCAGCGGACTGGAAGGCCCATTCGATAAATGCTTCAAACAACGCGCACAATGGATTATTTGCACCACGCGCATGTTACATCATGCATGGCATGCTGGTCACGATCCACATCGTCCTTCTTGTCTTCTATGTCCGTCACTGGGAACACCATGCAACTTTTCCTTTCACACCAACAAACAACGATTTCTGGCCCGTGGTGCTCAGTGCTTCGCTGCAAGCGTTTTATACTGTACGTATCTGAGTCCAGTGTCCGGTACCCTAACAATACACCACTTATATGACTTGATCCAGATATACACGGCTGTTTTGCTCTTACTTACCCAACGGCTGGCGATTTCGAGAACACTCGTACGCCGTGTGAAACTGACTGCCGTTCATGACATCTCTGGTGCATGGGCAGGTCTTGGTTCTGCACTCACTAGTGTCTGGCGACAGACTGACATCCCCGCCTCGTGGTGGACGACTTCCGCTGTGGCAGCCTACCTTGCGAGCATAACCGTACTGCATGTCACCTCTTCTACTCTCCTACAATTTCAAACCTTCAATGCTTCTATGACGACTTCGGTTCCCACAACACTAGGATGGCTAGACGATTCGTCGTATGGCTATTTAACAGACCTGGGACCCATTACCACATCCCTACCAGTTGTCAATCATTTGACTGGACTCGTGTCTGCAGGGTTATCCAATAGCACACTCTACGACACCCTCAAAACAACCGTTATAGCAGGGAATGCGACTGTGAACGCAACGACGGTAACCTCGAGTTGCGGATTGGTTCCGAATGTGACATACTCTGCGAATACCAGCACAGCGATTGTTCCGTTTGGGCCAGTCGCTACTCACGTGCTTAATGCGAGCACTCTCTGTCAGTGGTTGTGATTGCGGTAATGCTTTATCACGCTAAGAATGTCTGCAGGGTCGGATCAGATACATATAATTCCATGGATGGAATATGAAGATTCTTACGGTGGCGTCTCGAAGGTAAGCGTTTTCTTGGTTCGCGCCTACTATAGCAGTTGAATAACAATTTGACTCTAGCTTGCTGGTGTCTATCTTATGGTCTCCACATTATTGGGGATCGACCCTTCAGGACAGGATGAGGTTGCTGTAAATATGACTTGGGGTACGTTTGCTTATTTGTAATACAGTCATAATAACAATACGTTCTGCAGCTATCCCTGGCATTGCCACTCCATACGTCATCCAGGTCTATTTCGTATATTGCTCGCTGTCAGCGAACACTACAGATGGGGTGGTCGACATGCAAACCAACAGCCTACTGAGTCCTACGTCCATGTCGCAGCCATCCACGCAATGGGAAATGTATCAATTCGGGTGGTCGAATACTAGTTGGCAAACACAGGTGCGTTATACGGCGCTCACTTCGAGCTCAATGACATACTGTCAATTTTAGATCGGCAGTGCTTTGGCTACCCCGGATAGCAGCAGCGGGTTTATATTTGATGGTACACCTTCACAAGTCACCGAACTCTCTGTTGCGGACGAGTAAGCCAAAAGCTTTGACTGCACTGTTAAAATGTCTCACGTATGGCTTGACTTCCAGGTATATCATGTCGTTGATAGGCTTGAATCTCACTGAGGAACATATACAATTCCAAGACGGTGCTTCTCCGATTTCCAATTTCACGTTGAGACCGGATGAACTAGAATTTGCTGTTGCGAGATCAGCTGCACAACTCATCTGGCTAGGTAAGGGATACGTTTAAAGTTTTCTTAACATTGCCCCGTTCTCGCTGACTCTGTGTCACATGCTTAGCGGGACAAATGGGTGCAGCCAATGGAGGAATTGACCCTGGCAACGGGACAGCCTATGTTAACGAGGAGTTCATTGCCCTACGCCTCAATGTAAGTGACCTGCACAGATGCTGATTTTAGATGACTAATGGAGCATTGTAGATTAACCTTCTTCCTGTGAGTTTGTGGTGGTGTCTATGCGCCGACTATTTATGGAAAATGGTTCTAGTTGGCTTTCGCGGCGTCTGCATCGGTGATGATGTTGGGACTGGCGCTACATATGACCCGAGCATTCCATGCATCGCACGACAGTCAGGCTGCTATCCCAAACATAGGTGTGCTGCAACTCTTGTGGTTGGGCCACCGTTCAGCCTCTATCAATGAAGTCCTGGAAGATGTGCAACATCCGACAGAGGCCAATCTGCGACGAGTGGGAATGATAGATGTATGTCTTACGAAAACAATGTCTGATAAGGCAGAGTTTGGGAGATCAACAGATAGTCTCTCCTTGTGCAGTCGACTACCATGACATGATTTGGGTTCGATAATAGAGAGCTGGCGAGCTGCTGCTTATTGATGTTCGAAGAATTTCTATCCGACGCGCATGCACGTCTGTTATAAGGGGAAGCGCCGGCGCCGAGTCACATCATAATATCGCCGCCTTCTGTTTCGTAGTATATTATGTAAATTAGTAACATTTTTTGTCATTGTGTTGACTACGTGTGATTCGCGATCCTCATTGGGTCAGCCTTCCGACGCGACGCGTTCAAACGCTGCTAGCTGACGTGGCCTAAGCCCTTGGGCCTTGCCGGACTTTCAGCATTTCTAAGTTGCTTGTAGTTCGGCTAGGTCATGCACCCTTGGACCCATAGATATTGCACTATTATCGACGGTAGTTTAGCATTACTGCTGTCAACATTGTCGACAACAGCAATGCCAAACGATTGTGGACCTGGCATCGTCCCCGGCTTACATTATGAGCATGACGTGGTGAGGTATGTAATCCGCGCCACTTTACTTTCTGTGATAGGAGCCAATTAATTGCCGCGACGCGAACAGTCTCGGCTACCCTGCATACGCGTATAAAAGCCTCCCATTCACGACAGTCACCCTATTCAAACCTTCACCTTCCTTGAATCCCAAAGCCACCACTTATCCTCCGTTCATCATGGGTCACATCTGGTCAGTGTACATCCGCGAGACTTTTCCTCCCTCAACGAAGTTTCACGCGTCTGATGTCCCGGACATGTCTGGAAAGGTTGTTCTCATCACCGGTGCCAATTCAGGAATAGGAAAAGAGACCGCCAGAGTCTGTCTTTCATCAACATATTTCAAATATTTGCTTCATGTTGATGTTTTCATTGTTAGATCCTCCTCGCGAAAAACGCCAAAGTTTATGTTGCTTGTCGCGACGAGGCCAGGGGTGAAGCTGCTATTCGCGAACTTAAGGAGAGCACCGGAAAAGAAGCGTGTTTCTTGCAACTCAACTTAGCAAACTTGAGGTCCATCAAGGCTTCTGGAGAAGAGTTTTTACGGTACGTTTGCGTTATATTTGTTGAGCAACAAGATAACTGACACTCCCTCAGGAGAGAACCCGTACTGCACATCCTATTCAACAACGCGTGAGTGTTGCTTAACTTTGTCGTCTTGCCGTCCTCTCACATATAACTTAGTGGGGTAATGACACCTCCTATGGAGATGTTGACGGACGACGGTTATGATCTTCAATTTGGGACGAATGTCCTTGGTCACTTCTACTTCACGAAAATTGTTATGCCTGCGCTTCTAGCGGGTGCCGCCCAGTCACCTGCCGGAACTGTACGCATTGTGAACACGGCTTCTAACGCCCACTGGTTCGGTAGTCTGGACTATAACACGTTCAAAGACTCTCCCGCCAGGAAACAGAAGAGCGCGATGGGTCTCTATGGCCAAAGCAAAATGGCAAGTTTTGTCTCTATCGTGTCAACCCCTTTTCTAAACTCCTGTGTAAAAAGGGCAACGTCTTATTTGCGGCTGAGCTAGCTAGACGATATGGCGACCAGGGTATAGTCTCGACAGCACTCAACCCTGGTGGTATCAGGACGGAGCTTAGCCGCCATTATGACTCCTTTTCCAAAATGATAGGCGTACGTTATCACGTATCATCCAACCTTCCAAAAACTAACTGTTCGATATTTGCAGAACATGTTCTTCCATGATATATCATTTGGGCCACTGACGCAGTTGTACGCTGGAACCACTGCAGAAGGAGCGAATCTTAACGGAAAGGTTAGCCCCTTCTCTCCTGACTGAACTCGAACTTATATCCTGGACAGTATCTCGTTCCTTGGGCGCGCATTGGGGACACACATCCAGAGGGGCAGGATCCACAGCAGGCTTCAGAGCTATGGACCTGGCTTGAGGAGCAAGTCAAGGACCTTTAGTTTCGATTGATTCTTATGATCGTGTCAGTATCATATGGTTGTATAATTGCCTTTGACGTCTCAACACAAAGTATACAATATCAAAGCCAAAGTCGTGTTCAAATGAACGACAACGAACTTCACCAGCGTTCCCATAAATTGCGGTCAACAACCATGACCTTGATTCATTGAACGGATGAACCCCATATAGGCTGCGCAGCATCAACCTGAATGCTCTCACCTGTCTCTGTGACCTGCTGCACAACTTCACCCACAGCCGAACTGTTACCGCACTAGTATTATGTAAGCATTTTTGACTTGCATGTGATTCTTGATCCTCTTTGGGTCAGTCTTTCGACGCCCCGCTAGCTCTGACGACTATCTGCATTTCTAAGTTGCTTGTAGTTCAGCTAGATTTTGCACCTCCGGACCCATCGATACCGCACCATCGTCAAACGGTAGTTCGGCATTGCTATTATCGACATGAATTGTCGATGCCATTGTGGCCCCATCGGCCCTGGTTACTACCGAATGACATTATGAGCGTGACGTAGTGAGTATAAAATTATTCATGTGATCCACGCGCTGCTTTCTGTTATAGGAGTGCCGCGTGAACAGTTTCGGCTGCCCTGCATACGCGTCTAAAAGGCTTGCATTGACACAGTACCCACCGTACTATTCTTTCCTTGAATTCCACCACTTTTCGAAAATCCTTCGTTCACCATGGGTCACGTCTGGTCAGCGTACATTCGCGAGATTTTTCCTCCTTCAACAAACTTTTACGCGTCTGATGTCCCAGACATGTCTGGAAAGGTTGTTCTCGTCACCGGTGCTAATACAGGGATAGGCAAGGAGACCGCCAGAGTCTGTCTCCCACCGACATATTTCAAATATTTGCTTCATGTTGATGTTTTCATTGTTAGGTCCTCCTCACAAAAAACGCCAAGGTTTATGTTGCTTGTCGCGACAAGGCCAAGGGTGAAGCTGCTATTCGCGAACTCAAGGAGAGCACCGGAAAAGAAGCTTGTTTCTTGCAACTCAACTTAGCAAACTTGAAGTCTGTCAAGGCTTCCGGAGAAGAGTTTCTGCGGTACGCATGCATCACATTTTTCGGGGCAACAAGACAACTGACAACTCTTTAAGGAGAGAACCCGTACTGCACGTCCTATTCAACAATGCGTGAGTGTTGCTTGACTTTGTCGTCTTGCCGTCCTCTCACGTATCGCTCAGTGGGGTAATGACTCCTCCTAAAGAGATGTTGACGGACGACGGTTATGATCTTCAATTTGGGACGAATGTCCTTGGTCACTTCTACTTCACGAAAATGATCATGCCAGCACTTCTAACGGGTGTCGCGCAGTCACCTGCCGGAACTGTACGCGTTGTGAACACGGCTTCTAACGCCCACTGGTTCGGTAGTCTAAACTACAATACGTTCAGGGACTCTCCCGCCAGGAAAAAGCAGAGCATCATGAATCTCTACGGTCAAAGCAAAATGGTAAACTTTGTCTCTATTGTATCAATCCCTTTTCTAAACTCCTGTATGAAAAGGGCAACGTCTTATTTGCGGCTGAGCTAGCTAGACGATATGGCGACCAGGGTATAGTCTCGATAGCACTCAACCCTGGTGGTATCAGGACAGAGCTTAGCCGCTATTATGACTTCTTTTCCAAACTGATGAGCGTACGTTATCGTGTATCTCCAACCTTCCAAAAGCTAACTGTTCGATATTTGCAGGATATATTCTTCCATGATGTATCATTTGGCGCGCTCACGCAGTTATACGCTGGAACCACTGCAGAAGGAGCGAATCTTAACGGAAAGGTTAGCCCCTTCTCTCCTGACTGAACTCGAACTTATATCCTGGACAGTATCTCATTCCTTGGGCACGCATTGGGAACACACATCCAGAGGGGCAGGATCCACAGCAGGCTTCAGAGCTATGGAACTGGTTTGAGGAGCAAGTCAAGGACCTTTAGATTCGATTGATTCGATTGATCGTGTCGGTATTATATGGTTGTATAATTCCCTTCAACGTTTTAACACAAAGCCTAGGGGTATATTGGTTTATGTATTCATCGCTTGGTTGGAGTCGATATTCATGCTGGAGGCGGTCACTCGATCTTGAGTCGAGTGTTCTATATCATGACAAATGACTTTTTTTTCATTCTCGAGGACGTTAATCTAAAAGGTTCCGGTGTACTTTACTAGTGCATATTGACCATCATGGCTGTATCGGTTGACACTGGGCTTGTGCCAAAGGTACTGCGTGTGTTAACTTCGACCGGTGTGATCTGCATCATCGAGATATAAGAGTGGTAATTGCAAGCCTGCAGCCATAAAATTCAGCCGAGTGAGTGCTGTATCTCGTAGTACGTACATAGTCCACTATGAAAATGGAAGCGAGCAGCTCCGTGACTCCACCAATGTCACTGCAATATACCGGTTCGTCGACGTTCTACACCGAACTAGCTGAAATTCCTCTTCCTGTATCCGCTGATTTCATTGGCGATAGTCGAGTTGCACGGGTTACTTATTCCGTTCGCGATCACGACCGAAACATCAAACGATACCTCACAAAGACGTTCGACAATCAGTGCACGACTTCTCATGATTCATCTGAAATAAAGGCATCCGCGACATCTCCTTCTAAATATCGTCAAGCGATCCTGAGAGAAGTAGTTAATAGCAAACGATTCGTCGAGATATGGGCTGGCACCCAACTAGAAGCTTCATTGGACGTATCAAATTACCACCAAGCTTTCCTCACAGATGGTGAGCAGAACAAAAAATGCGAATGCTAGCTAATCGAATACCAGATTTCCTATACTCTCTCTCTTTCTCCCCCTCCGAAACTTCCCTCTTATACACCGCCGAGGCATCCATCAACACTGATGACGATCCGTACAACAAATTCAGATACACGCCCCACTTTGGTGATACCTGTCGCGCAAAGAAACGTCCCACCATCTTTTTATTCAGCTGGACTAGATCTCCCTCCTTCACGAGGGCAGCTAAACAAGACTTGACCCTTTTCGCACTTCAACCCACAACTGAATCACTCATCCTGTTCGCCCAAGCCACATTTGCGACAGAAGACACAATCTTTGCAACCGGTCACGAACAAACCAAAGACGGCCGTATCCTCGGCGCAAAAGGATGCTTCAACCGTCCCATGGGAATATGGCAACTCACTCTCTCAAAGGACTCGCTCGGATCCCCATCCGCGTCTAGACTTACTCCCCAAAACAGATCCTGCCGGTCCCCTCGCGTCTTATTCCACAATGACCAGCCCATCAAACTTTTCTGGTTCTCAAACCCCTTAGGCGGCCCTCACGCATCCTGCGTCTCTCTTGAATCCCGCGATCTCCTCACAGGCACCAACACCGTCCTCGTACGCACCGTATTCGAACCTCCATCAAATGACTTTCCGGGCCTCTACACCGAGTACAACATGCCAGCCAGCCCATTTCTGCGGCGCAGAGATGGCATATACATAGTTCTGCAGTCCATATGGCGCTCACGCACAACCGTCCTCTTGATTGATACGCAATCAGGAGAGATCACAGACGTGACAAAATTAGGCGACGGACCGTTGTACAGCTGGACTGTATATGCTACCGATAACAAGAGTCGGTTTATTTGTTCGAGGAGCACGCCTACTACCCCTTGGGAGGTCTTATTAGGATCTTTCGATCAACATGATACCCTCGAATGGAAAGTCCTCGATAAATCGTTGTTGTCTTCTGCGAGTAGGTCTGATCCAAATCTCGCTCGTCTCACTCGTTCACTTGTTTCCAGTCAAAGAAGCCCTGGACGACCTTACACCATCCATCATACCCATCACCGCCCGCGCACCAGTGGAAACACTCCTCTTCCAATCCAAGAAAGCTTCTACCTGTGGTGGCCCGAAACCAGTGTGCGTCACTATTCTGCATGGAGGACCCCATGCGACCTCAACGACTTCATTTTTTCCGGCTGTCGTCGCATTAGCGCTCGAAGGATGTACGTCACTCTCTCTTACCAAAATGACTTGCAAACTACATTGCTCGGTCACTCACTCACACCACAGACACCCTCAACATTCCCAACTACACAGGCTCGATGGGATTCGGCCAAAGATACATCCAAAAGCTCCTCGGACACTGCGGGAGCATGGATGTCGAAGACGTCGCCGAAAGCGTCAGGGAACTGATCAGAATGGGGGTTTCAGAGGAAGGAAGACAGGTCGTGATGGGAGGAAGTCATGGCGGGTTTATTGCTGCTCATCGTATGTCCCCTTTTCTCTTTTTTCATTCACTCTGCATACACATTTCGATGACGTTGATGCTCACTTTCGCACGCGCATACAGTGATAGGCCAGCATCCAACCCTATTCAATGCAGCATCGCTCCGCAACCCCGTCATCTCAGCAGGCGAATTCGCAACAGGGACTGATATCCCTGATTGGGTTTATTCTGAATTCGGGGTTTCGTCCACCGGCTCTGACTCTGACTCCTACACAACGCCCACATCCAACCTCCTCACTTCACCCACACCTACACTCCCGCTAATGACTCCAAAAACATACAACACCCTGTTCACCGCATCCCCAATCGCGCACGTTGACAATATAACAGCACCAGTGCTTATATTAATAGGTGAGGATGATTTGAGGGTCGTTCCGGGGCAGGGAATGGGGTTTTATCACGCGATCAAGGGGAGAGGTGAGGTTCGGAATGGCAATGTGAATGCGACTAGCACAGAGAAGGAGACAAAGAAAGGAACAGTAGAGATGTTGTCCTTTCCCGGAGAGTCGCATGGGATCGATGGAGTTGAAGCTGCGAGGGTTTTATTTGAAGCTACGAGGGATTGGTTCAAGGCTTTTGGAGAGGGCGTTTAGCGCATAGCACGTACGGGAAAGTGAGAGATTTTGTTGTACCCTTGGCCGACGATGTTGACTGTTCAAGCTCAAGGTTGAACATGATTTAATTCGGAATTCAATTCAATTCATCCCTTCTGTATGTGAAATCATGGGAACTAACGTGTCACGCTCGACTTTCTTGCCGTGCCGCATCATAGAATCCGAAATTACTCATGCCCCTCAGTCGACCCAGACCCTAGTATCAGCAACAGCTTCAGGACAAAATGCTTCGTTCACGTAGAGGACAACCAGCCGGTCGACGAGAAATGAGACTACCGGTTGTGATAGCATACTTGGTGAAGGAAGAACTTCCAAGTCCCGGCTCGCAGTAAGGCCCGAAGTACTTTCAAAGGTATGATCGGTATTAGGTATGACGCAACCATCTTTCTTTCGTAGACTAGATTGTATTGTCCTCCGGATCGTTTAGGAATTGATTGAACTGTTTCTGTCCACAATCTACATAGCCGATCGAAATCATCGATCAACGGATGACCGGGACATTCAGACGGGTTGTTTCGCTGCCGGCCATTTAGAGTAATTTGCACCCTCTAAACGTTCTTGATGTGGGTCCCAAGGGAGTAAAAGGAAATTAGATGTGTAGCTACTTCTATCCCTATGATAAATAAATATCAAAGGAATGATCATGAACCCGTGCAGCTTGATATGCATTTCAGTGGCCGACATTCTCCAAACATGTATACACCATGTCAGACAAAGCATCATATTGCGTGATCATGCAACTATTTCGTACAATTCCACACACTGAATCTACCTCAATGGACCATTCAATGAACCCACATGCCCAGCCAAAACATGAGTCATCTGAACCGGAATGCTGTATTGCATTGCCCAACGTCAAGGTCTCGCTAAAGACAAGCAGATCAGCGATATTGTTGCCACAACATGATGTTGAAACATACGCAGGCAATGATTTAAACTGATTTCAAGAATAGTCTTCATTAACTCCGCCTTCGCCCGAGAACATGACAATTCTTTCTCCTTCTGCTTCGAGCGTTCAAAGGATTGCTTCACTTCCTGAGAGTGTTCGACGGCCTTCCTCTTGAAGGGTTCAAACAGCAACTTGGCTATCCAAGCAGGCAATTTTCCTTGATATGTGTAGACAAAAGCATTCACAGCTTCTTCATATGCCTGTACAGCAGCACTCACACCTTCCCTGACAGCAGCAGCATGTGGAGATGCCATGTACTGCTTGTTACAGTAACATGGCACGAGTCCCCCGCCAGCAGAGAGCCCTCTGCCACTCGCACGGCTATAGACGACACTGGAGCCTCACCAGCTCTATAGACGATAACAGAGCATCATTGGCTCTATGACGATAGATGACGACAGATGACGATAGAAGATAAGCGGCAACTGCCGGCTTAGATAAGCGGTCTGGACCGCACGTGACGACACATGACGACATAGGTCTAGAAGACCTATTTATGTTATCAAGATAGAAGGCAAGCATCGTGTTGCCTCGTGGACTGATAGATGATAGAAGGCAAGCCTCGTGCTGCCTCGTGTAACGATAGAAGGATACCACGTGGATCCTATCTCTGATAGAAGCGTACCGCATGGACGCTATCTACGATAGAAGCCCGCCTCATGGACGCTATCTCTGACTCATGTAGATAAGCAGATTAGAACCCAGCTTTAGGCTGAGCTTAGATACGAAGAGTAGCCTTATATAAGGTCGAAGATTAAAGTAGATGTTCCTTACTTTAATCTTACTAGGTACTACCCAGAAACTAGTCTAATCAACTAGGTTTTCCCTTGAACTCCTTGTCCCGCTAAAGCTACCTGCTCGACATCGACTCGTACCTTCAGTGACGCCTCTCACTGTCTGTAAACCCTGCTATCATCTCAGCGTAACCCCTCGTTAACCACCACGAGCTACGTTCGAGTACGCAACCTTTACTTGTCTGTAAAGGCCGACGACTCTCAGCACTCGGTACCACTGTCGTGGTTGTCGCTGTTTAGATCATCCTAGTCGCACACGACCGCTTGTCGTAACACTGCTTGAGAGCGACATCAAAGGAGGGAGCAGACTGTTGCTGGTCATGAAGATGGCGTCGCTTGTCGAAAATGTAGAAAGAGTGTTCGAAGACAATGACAACAGCTAAATGATCAATGATAAGCAGGTTCATCGCAACGCAGCCTCAAAATTCACCAGAACAGAGCTGAACAATGTTCTCCAAGGGTGATGAGTCAGAGGCCTAGCACATTCGCAACATCAGAATTGCATGTACAATCTGTGACCAATTGGACATACTGTAGAGAGTAACCTAGACTGCATCTTTGCACAATGACTCTGATCAAGCTGGTCAAATCATGTTGGAAAGTTGAAAATGTTCCACCACTGCTGAGGATCGATGCACTCACATACTGCCAATGCGTAATATCTTCGGTCAGCATGGCCCAGAGTCAAAGAAGGATGAAGAGACTAACATCCTATTGATAAATCAACAATGTCATTTGCGAATAAGGCTCAGATCAAAAAACTCACAGGCTATTAAGAAATGTACGATTTCAGTCATAAGAAAAGCTCGAACTGGACGAAGAATGAGCACACTGACTTTCTGTCAGTGGATGAGCAATGTCATCAGTGGGGAAGGTCAGTGATGCTCCAATTCAACTGCGGGTCGATGTGCTTACATTGTGTGACTGGACGGGTGATGTCTTCAGTCAGTATAGTTTAAGCTCAACAGTGGACAGACCAACTCACAATCTATTGATGGAGCATCAATGTATCCGGTCAGTGTGGCGTGAGGGCGACAGAGAATCGGTAGACTCACATCCTGACAACAATTCACCGATTGCATCAATGAGGAAGACAAGATGTAGGAAGAAAATGATCATACTCACGAGCTGTCAACAGATCAACATTTACTTCGGTCAGTAGCTCAAGGTCGGTAGAGGGTAAATGTACTGACCTCCTGCCAATGGTGCATCAATAGCTTTTGTGAGGACTTGAACTTGACAAAGAATTAATACACTTATGTTCTATCAATGGTTGCACAATAGCTTCATTCAGGAAGGGTTGAGTTCGAAAGAGGATCGACACACTCACACCCTGCGAAGGGTGGGCAACAACTTGGATCAGCATGGCTCTTGCTCGAACGAGGATCGACACACTCACATACTGCGAATGGTGGGCAATGACTTGGATCAGCATGGCTCTTGCTCAAACGAGGATCGACACACTCACAGCCTGTGAATGGTGGGCAATGACTTGGATCAGCATTGTTAGAAAGTAGCGCGCTCAGCGTTGATAAGCAACAACTAGATTCACATTTAATGTACCTGTTAGAAAGTAGCGCGCTAGGATCAAGTAAGTACGAGGCTCAGAGCAAGATAAACAATACGCGTACCTCAGCGTTGATAAGCAACAACTGAGGGATGCAAACAACAACAAGACGAGATACTTGTAGGATACGGAAAGACGGAGCTCGAATGTCAAGAAGAAGGTAAGCATACAATGCCAAGAATGAAGCATGTGATACGACGAAGTGGTGAGGTTGCCCAATAGCCAAATGCAACGTTAATCTGTCCGAATGCAGAGGACGACTTATCTCTTCAACACACCCCCTCAACCAGCCACGAGTCCAATTCTCCAATACACCTCCTCAACCAGCCACGAGTGAGAGACCTGCACGATGAGCAATGAACATAGGACGCGGAAGGACTTTGGTGAAGATATCGGCACTGTTGCGATGAGTGGACACCCAGATGGGTAGGAAGGTACCGGTGAAGGTGAGGAATCTTGACTATAGGTGAAACGCTAAAGCTAACGGGGGTTCTACAGTAAGACCAGGATACGAGAATACGACTCGACCCAAAGGACAGCTACTGAGAGAAGTTCCTCTTTAATGTAATGGAGGGAGTCTTCGCCAACTAGACGGGTGGTAACAGGCGCGCGAAGGCGCGAGAAGATAACGTGCGCATAGGCGCGAGTAAGCAATGCGAAGGCGCACAAAGAGCGCGCGCGAGCGAAAGATGCGAGGGGCGCGCGCGTATGCAGAAGCGTGCTTTTGAGCGATGGGGGAGAGTGTTCAAGTATAGCAGATGCGCGAGCGATGGTAGAATAGTGAAGTATAATCGGATTTCAAGTACTAAGGTGCACTTATACAATTTGCAGTATACTCAGATAAGGGAGAAGGGACGGAAGTCCGTTCCAAGGAACTTTCCCTCTATTTAAGAAGGGAGATTACGCTATGCGGCGCACTTCCGAGCGTGGTACCGAACCGAGTAACCATATCAACTCTAAATATATTCTAAAGCCTATGATAGACTTTCTGTATGTAAGCGCGGAGATCGGACCGAAGGTACGTCAATTCAGTGAAAGGGATAAGAATAATGCACCAGTAAATCAGCGAGGACATAGGACAGACGGACGGACAAGGGTACACAGGCCTAAGGGGAGGCGCACGAGCGCGCGCGAAAGGCGTGAGTGCATGTAAGGCGCGCGAACGAGGCGCGTACGTAGGGCGTGCACGTGAGAGCGCGTATGACTGATCCTTCGGATAAGAGCTGGAACGTGTAGGGAATTATGTGGGTAATAGGGCCGTATATTCCGCATTGAGAGGCGCGAGTCTCTACATCTCCTGGGGACTTACATTCTGAGTGCCCCCACTCAGCGCTATAACGCGGGATTTTGGACTTGAAGAAGTGGTGATAGACAGGGGTCATGTGATCGCGAGAGTAGGGCCATTCCTTTGATGATCGCGAGCATCGCTGATCTAATCGATGGAATTATTGATAAGAGATGGTTGCGTTCTCGCGATCTCTTGTCTTCCTTCTTATCAATACCATCATGCCTCCTTTCACTGCCGCTATGCTGAATGCCACCCCCTCTCCAGAACCTGAGCCTGTGGCGCAAGGTCACCCTGAGGATGCGCCTATGGCTGACACTAGCGCTGAATCCAATACCAATCGTCTCCTCAGCGCCTGGGCCTCTTCCTTGGTGTCATTGGAAGCGTGTGTCATGGCGGCGCCTGATCTCAAGCCGGAGCTCCTCGAGGATCAAGAGATGTGGATGCGTGAGTGGCATTCTGTGCTCGTGAGTGTGCCTTACATGTCCCGCTTTGTGTCATCTGACCATCCTAGGCAACCTTGAACGGCTGTTCTGAGCGCACGGGTGTACTGGGCGTGGAGTTGGATATGGACGAAAAGGGCGTGGAGTTCCTGAAGCAGGGGCGCAAGGGTTGTAAAGAGATTGAGGCGCTGGTGAAGGGATGGAAGGCAAAGGCGATTGAGACTGTTCCAGAGGCGCCTCCCAAGCGTGCTGCGCGCGCCACTGATGCTACCGGTGCTGAGGCGCGCGCCACTGATGCGTCTGGTACAGATGTGGCCGAACAGGTGCGTTCCTCTATGTCTCATTGTTGCGCTACTCTACTGATGCATTCTGTTGTATTAGCGCAAGGTTGGGCATATGTCTGTCATCAAAGCGCCGCGTTGCACCAGCTGCGCCAACAAGGATCAGGACTGCGGAGGCGCACCTGGCAGGCGGTGCCCTCCTTGTGATGTTTCCAAGCGCGCGTGTTCCTTCTGTAAGTTGCGCCTTGGGAATATTTGTTGGCGCACTACTAACGCCTTTGATTAGCTAAGCGCAAGACTTCAGACAGACCTAAGGTGCGTCCGCGCAAGCCGATGCCTAAGCGCCCCATGGCTGTTGAGTCTGCAAAGGTGACCGCTTCCTCTATTGCGGTTGAAGAAGGAGAAGGGTCTGAAGGGTCTGGCATGGATGTGATGATTGTTGATGAGCGCACTGTGCAGGATAAGGTCGTGCGCGCCTTGTGCGATGTCCCTGTGCGCGCTGTTGGTCCTTTGGCGTCTGGCTCTGCGCCTAAGGGAAAAGGCAAGTTCAAGGGACCAGAGGAGGAGTTGAAAGAAGCTCAGGCTGAGACTGCGCACCTGAGGGAGGAAAATGCGCTTATGCGCGCGTCCGCTTTGAAGATGCGCCAGTATGCGCACGCCCAGCAGGCGGACCTCCTGGCGCTGTCCAACAAACTTTTTTCTATGTCCCAAGACTGGTCTGACTTTGAGGAGCGCGTCAATGCCTCTCTTAACTAGATGCTTTGTGTTTGTTTTCCTGAGCGCCAATGCGCCTGTGCAATAGATCCAGTTTGTCTTGCGTCCCATGTCCATGTCCATGTCCTCGTCTGATTTACCGGGCTATGAATTAAAATTATAAGTATGTAAGTAAGGCGCGAGCGCGAAACAAGATCAAGGTAATGCGATAGACTTTACTAGGGTTTCTGCGGGGGTGCGCGCCCGTCTTGTCTTCTTCGCGCGTCTTTCATTGTCTATTCCTGCTATATTGCGCCTCGCGCATACGGGGTGGTGGCGCGCGATTTCTAAGGAAAAGGAAAAGTGCGCGGTGTAGGGATTCATTTCTGGCTAGGCTTGCAGAGACTGTTTTTACCTTAGTGTTATGTTTGCACTTTTGTAGCTTACATAATCAAGTTACCTTTTCACCAGTTCTACTATGAGTCTGAGTATTCAGCAAGTTTCTATCATATTTCCTCTTCTCTGAGCCTTGAGCCTGGTCCAGAAACCCTTTAGGGTCGAATAGCAGCTAGGTTCTGCAAGACCCAACATTGTTCAGACTCACCATCTGAATTGTTGTACCTTCAGCGGCGCGGCGCGGCGCGCGCGTTAGAAGGTGAAGGTCTATGGGTGAGACTATGCGCGCGCTATACAAGTAAGGTAGTTAGTAGTATGTACTTGCGGAATATTAGTATTTTTGTGTTCTGTCGTCCTATTTTAGAGTCTGTGGGGATTATGTGCAGGCAATGCGCGTTATATGAGACAAATGATAGAAACTGATATCACCGGATGAAACCCGGGGTAAAACTGAGAGTATGTACTTAATGGAATGTTTTTGTTTTTGTTTCTTGTTTTTTTTTTTTTTCTGAGGAATGTGCGGGGATGCGGATATAATTGGGCAATGTGCGGAATGGGGGGAATTGTCGCGCGCGCTAATCATCTTGCGCGTGCTCAGGCTCGTCTTCTTCGGGTTCTATGGATTCATAAGCTTCTAGATTGTCGATGCTCTCGTCGTCCACTCCAGTCATTTGGGTTACCGACACGCGCTCCCCGCTACGTGGATAATAAGGGATGACGCGGAACGCAGTGAACCGGAGTTTTGAGATCGCGCCGTCCAACTCGGCCAGCATATATGAGCCTCCCTTCGTGCGGCGCACTACGATCATAGGTCCCAAATAGCGCGGCTTCGTCTTCTTGCTTAATTCGTATTCGACCTTCGAGTTGCGCACCAATACCAAGGTGCCGGGTTCGAAGTCGTGCGACTTGATAGACGCGCAGAAGCATTTCTTGAAATTGCGTATCGACTTGAAACGCGCTGCGACAACTTTATCTCTGATTGTGTTAATATCTTCCATGCGTTTCTGAAGTTGGCGCGCGTGCCATGCTATAAGGTCAGTAGTGGTGAATGCGCCTCGGCTCGGCAAGGGCGCGAGGAATGTCGCTTCAGCGAGATCAAAGGGAAATATTGGCTCGACGCCGTGCATCATGAAATAGGGCGATAAACCCGTCGCTTTGTGAATGGTGACGCGCTCTGCCCAGAACACTGAATGGACTACCTGATACCAGCGTGACTCATCTCCGTCGCAGCTTTTAATGATGGCCTCCCGGACATCGCGGTGTCGTCGTTCGACTATACCGTTTGCCTGAGAATTATATGGTGAGATGCGGATTGGGTGTATTTTATATTTGTGTGCGAGTTCGTCTACTGCGAGCCTGTATGCGGGCGCGTTGTCCGTTACTATTTCTGTGATCGGACCCCACCTACACAAGAGCTCCTCGAAAATAAATGCGGTTAGCGCGTGAGTATTTTCTTTGCGCAGCATGCGCCATTCAGGGTACGATGTTAGTGCACATCGCGCTTGCACAAGGTATTCAAACCCTCCCGCTCTGGGCATCTTCATCGTGTCGATGTGCGCTTTGCGGAATAGACCACCTGGCATTGGCACGATTGGAGGAATATGCAATTTGCGCGTTTGGCGCACTTGGCATTCATGACATGTCCGCGCATACCATTTGATGTCTTCCCTGATGTGTGGCCACCAAAAGCGCAGCCGTAGATGTGCGCTGACGGTATAAGTACCCTTGTGCCCTAAATCGTCATGCGCCTCCTTGAGAACTCGATAGCGTTTACTTGGGGGCAGCACGAGCTGATGTTGGCCATTTGATACTTTGCGCCATAAGTTGCCTTCCAGGATGAAGTAACGCGCTGCGTTGTTGACGAACTTTTCGAATTTTTGATCTGAAACGTCAGTGGGTCTTTCGCACAAGGAGAGGAACTGTTCTATCATGGTCATCAGCGCGTCCTGCTCGCGCGCCGCGTCCGAGCGTGGAATATCAGGTTCTAACTCCTCTGTCTGCGTGACATTGAAATATACGCGCAGCGTAGGGGTGCGAACGGTCTGCGAGATGAAACACGTGCGATGCGCTTCATGGCGCATGTCTGCCGAGCTGCCTGCTATACGTCGTGTGCGATCGTTTAGAAGCGCGATAGCGAACGAGTATGCGCTGAAGGTTCAACAATTCAGATGGTGAGTCTGAACAATGTTGGGTCTTGCAGAACCTAGCTGCTATTCGACCCTAAAGGGTTTCTGGACCAGGCTCAAGGCTCAGAGAAGAGGAAATATGATAGAAACTTGCTGAATACTCAGACTCATAGTAGAACTGGTGAAAAGGTAACTTGATTATGTAAGCTACAAAAGTGCAAACATAACACTAAGGTAAAAACAGTCTCTGCAAGCCCAGCCAGAAATGAATCCCTACAGCGCGATCAATCCAATCTTCATGATCGTTGTCCTCTATGGGATCTTCATCAGCGGGCGGTCTCCTTGAGAGACCATCAACGCCTTTGTGCTTTTGCGCAGGTACATGAACAAGTTTGAACGAAAATAAGAGGATGCCCGCGATCCATCGATTGATGGTCGCGTTGGGTTGCAAATCTGGATTATTGATCATACCTTTGATATATTTCGCATCGACCTCCACTGTGAGGTTCTTGACTCCAGATATGTATACGCGCACGGCGCGCAGCGCGCGGAAAAGTCCAAAGAGCTCTAGCTTTGCTTGGGAGTAGCGCCTCTCCACATCATTCAGCGCGATGGAGCCGAATCGATTTGGGTAGCGCTTCCCGTCTTCGCCTACTTGCAGCAAGATGAATCCGATGGCAATATTAGAAGTATCAACCGCTAAAATGACTTCGCGCTTGCTGTCATAATCGATGCGCCTTAGCGCGGGCGACTTTAGAATTGAGTCCTTGAGGGTCAGCATGGCTTGGCGTTGTTCAGGTCCAAATACAAACGGCACGTCCTTTCTAGTAAGGTCAATTAGTGGGCGCGTGATGCGCGAGAAATCGCGAATGAATATGTGCAAGACGCCGCAAGTTCCTAAAAATCCGCGTACTTGTGACTGATTCTTGGGTTCAGGCCAGTCGTGAATCTTCTGTACTTTGGATTCTTCCGGTATGCGCCCTTCAAATGTACACTTGTGCCCAACGATAATAGCTGTGGGCGCGGCTAGAACGAATTTTGATGCGGAGACGGTTGCACCTACATTCTCCAAGCGCTGAAGGATGCGATTAACAACGATACAATGTTCCCATATGAAGCGTCAGATTCCTGGGTTTTCTGGTATAGCCTCGTATGAACCGTCTTCGCGCTGATAGCGCGTTCGTACTGATTTGATCGGGACATCATCCATGAATGGCGACGTGAACTCTGGGATCTCATGTTGCAGAATGAAGGCGGTATCGCCTTGGTAAACCTGAACAGTGTTAGCATGCCCTTGAGGAAGGGTGGTTAGCCGGTGAGGACCCAAGGGTGTCCCAAAGGTTGTCAGGTCGCGCAAGTCCACGTGAAGCGCGCACTGGTCATATCCTGAATATAAATCCAATATAGCGTATACCGCGTAACCCGCAAATGATTCTGCGAGAAGCTCGACGAACGGGGGAAGTGACGCGTCACGAATCGTTACCGCGTTGAGTGGCTGCAAATCGTGAACTAGGCGCAAGGATTTTCCGTCTTTCTTGACGACACAGAACCAGCGCGAGCGATACGCGGCTGTCGATGGCTCGTATACTCCTGATGCGATCTTTTCCTTGATAATGCGCACGACTTCATCTAAGGTGGCTGGCGGGATCGGAATATTGCATTGAGACCACAGGGTGTGCGGAACCGTAGGGATCTTGTATGGCGGGAAGCAGGTTTCATTGAGGCGCCCGCGCTCTGAGGCATCCCACGCAAAGGCGAGTTCGTGGACGCGAACTAGCCAGTGCACTAATTTGAGTTCCTCTGGCCAAAGCCAGTTCGCTGGATCAAGGTCTAGTTTGTCTGCGCGCTCCTGCGTGAAGCGCGTGCCTGGAGAGAATTCTGGGAGATGGGTCGGTAAGTCGGGTAGCCCTGCTAACGGGTCTTTGGGCAATTGGCGCACTACTCTATACTCTGCGGGCATAGTGGTAGGCACGGTGCGCACTTTCTTCGCGACTGGTTTATAGACCAGCGCGTGAAGCACTGGGATCATAATAATAATGAGAATTGAAGGCGTCGATCAGTCGCCTGATCTATAATGGACTGCGTGGATGTTAGATGCGCATAACGCGCGGAATACTGCGGAACAGATGATGAAGAAATTTGATGTATAACTACAGGAGGTAATGCATTGTTGCTCCTTAAGAGCGAGGGATGAGGAGCGCCTCCCGCGCACGCGATGCGCAACGCGTCAGGCGCCATGCGAGAAGACGAAGTGTGATGCGATAAAGAAAATGATTGAGGAAACAAGTGCATATAGGTGTCTCCCCGCAAATGCTGCGGATCATCGAGACTTAAAAACCCTTATCCTCCTCCTTGAGCGCGTGCGAGTGCGCTTGGTTAGCGCACTTCGCGTCTCTTGCGAGCGAATGCTTGACCCAAGGTAGGGTTGGAATGCGCAGTTCCTTGCGCGCATTAGGGTCAGTCAGTAAGAGGTCCTGTTCCCCATCGGGGAGATCAAAGGTGCGACATGAAGTAAGCTTAAAGAATGGGCGCCCTAGTAAAACCTCGAAGGTCGCGCGTTCGATGACTTGGACCTGGAAGTACA